AGAAACCCTCGGAACCAAGGCGAATAATTCACATAATGCGTTTGAAGAAAACAATTCTAAGACCCACGCTGATTCTTCATGGACCCAAGATGTCTCTCATTGATGCCTTTCGTGATAATTCTTTTGTGCTATCTTTTAAAACTACCACACGGTTGTATTTGCTTCGATTTAAGGCCTGCCAACAGTTTGGCTTTAATTAGGGCATCTAATCTCGTCCCTGACTTTCATGTTTGTGGCCTTTTCGTACCTTTTTCGAACTGAATTGTTCTGTCAATTAGAGCAACGAGCAAAAGACACTACTGGTACACGTTCCAGGAATTTGGGACAACGTAGGCAAGAATACTTTAATTTATGTTTTGTAATGGAATTTCTGGGGTTTGCAGGTGCCCATGCATTTAGGGTTTTGGCATGTCCAAGGCAGTCCAGATACGATCTAACATTCAAGTCGAAAGTCGAGCTGCCTTTATCAGCTAGACAATTGCCTAACGACGTCTGATTAGTCTCACTGTGAACATGTGACTGGAAAACCGCTTCCCCAGCATGAAACTCAACTCGGCTCCTGCCATTGTTCACGGATTATAAAGTTTACGAAATGAAGTCGTCCAAATCCTTCGCTGAAATATTCGGCAATTTCCCCCAAAACAGGAGAAACTATGAAAAAATGATGCAGAACTCCGGGCACGTTCCTATTATTGATGCCCCTCGTCGCACTCTGATATATAAAACTTTTTAAAATAATGCTTTCTGGCGTCCAGATAAATAGCGCCCGCTATCTTCACTCAGCAGGGGATTAGCCTGGGCGGGGTTCGGATTATTTCTCAAATACCCATGGGATATACAACGGGAACTCAAGAATGGAAATCAGTTCGATATCGTTAAAAAAATATGGGTTTTGAGGCGAAACACCCAAGGGAAAGGTTGGAAAAACTCAAAAATACTTAGAGGCTTGGTGGGAGCTGATGGGAATCAATTAATCGGAAACTAATTGACACCATATGGGGCGGGGTGGCGGCTACCATCGGGTGCCCATCGGAAATAATTACTCCATAAATCGGCCTTTGGCAGCCAACGGTGGGCGAACAGAGGAAATAGGTGTCTTTTTGTAATTAAAATTCAATAGAATGTAAATCAATGTTGCTTCCAAACAACTCGGGATTTATCAGTCGGCTTTGGGGAGTGCTTTTAACCACATTTTGCCTAATTCCCTAACCGAAAATCCGTTGAAATATATTTCATTCCGTATCGCTCCTTTGTCGCTTGCACATTTCAATTTTCTTCGGACATTTCCACCAGCATGGGGCCAAACGTCACATGTGGCGTGGCTTTTTATGGCCGCCATAACATCTTTTTAAATATATTTATCTGTCTCGCACCCTCCGTCTTTATAACTCACAACTGTGTGAACATTTGCTTTTTTAAATTGAGCTTAAAATAACTCATTTTTTTGCGCAGGATTCCATAAAACATCTAGTTAAACAATTAGAGGTTCTGTCCAAGGAAAAATCGTTAATATGTGAGATTAGCATGAGGATTTGCAGCAGGAGCGAGGATGCTGGTCAAGGGCCCCCGCTCTATCGGCAGACGATGATTCATCACTCGCCTTGTATGCATTTGAAGGGCGACTGAATACATTAAACCGTTTAGGCTTAGAAATTAACGACAAGAGGGGCACTGGCCTCCCAATCCGCATAATAACAAATTGCAATAACACCCCAGAAGATAAAATCGGCCCGAATAATCAGCGAATATTCACTAGGGATTCTTTTACTTGGACTGGTTACCAATTCGGGGTTGTTTCAGCTCCAATATTATGCTTTTTGAACTTATTTACTAGTTAATTTGACAGCATTTTCTAGCTACAGCATCTTTCACCTTGATATTAATGTTTTTTGGACACTCTGTATAAAGCAGGGCCAAATTTCCGTTTATGCG